GGCCCAGCTTTCACCTGAAGTTGAAGGGAATTTTGGAAGCATGATGCGTTGGGGTACAGAGTGCGGGTACTGTTTTTTGCGTCTCTCTCCCCACATTTAATTAGTATATTTTAGGGTGGCCAGATGCCAGGTGTTTGCCCCGCATGGTGAGGCGTGTGGCGGTTCTCCAGGAGGTTTGGGAAAAGCTTGCTCACCCGAAGCCGGGGACACGCCTCACATTGTACACCTTGGAGGGTGGGCGGGAGCAGGAGGAGTCCAGCAAGGCCTGGTCTATGCGGGTGCAGCTGCCAGCGCCCACCTGGGAACCCCCACTCAGGCTCAGGCAGTGGGGGTTCCCTGGGGTGTGGCGTTCCCCAGGAGGGAGTGGGAAGGAGGGTCAACCTGTGGCCCTGCGGGCTCACAGAGGTCTGATGAAGCAGAGACAGGGTCACCAGGACACCAGGCAAAGCCGGTGGGAAGCTGGAGCTGGCTTTTCCCAGAGGCTGGAGACCCCCCCCCATGCTCCCAACGTTCCCCCACCTCTTCCTTAATTCTCCCCCAACCTCCACCCCGAAGTTTGGGTCCTTCCTGGTCAGAGGCAGAGGCAGGGACTGTGGTTCAGCTCTGACCCTAGGCACAGGCCCCCAGACCTGGAGCCAGCTTCCACTGTCTGCACCTTGAACCTGGGAGCCAGGCCTCAGAACCTGAGCAGAGGCCTCTGGTTGGCCAGAGTGGCTTTACCTGGACAACACCCCGGAGAGCTCCGGGCTGGTGCCTCCCGAGCTCCTGTGGCACAGACCTGGTACACCTGGCCCGCTTCGTGTGGAACTGAGCAGATGATTAATCCTCTGTGTCCTATTTCCCCTCTGAAGAGAGGCCCACCTGGACGGGTGTTTGTCCAAGCCTGTCTGGTGCTGGCATGTGGTAGGTGAGGGTACATTGCCCTCTTGCCCTCCTCTTGCAATTGTATTCCAGAATCTCAGACCCCACTCCTCCACCTCTACGCAGCACTCTGCCCCACCCCCTCCAGTCAGCTAAAAAAGTGAGGTGCAGGCATTGAGGCATCTCAGAACCCAGCTCAACCAGGAAAAAGGAAAGTACCCAGGCAGGGGTGCGACAGGGAGAGAGGCCATAGCAAAGCCAGGCAGCCTCCCCACTCCCCACGCTCAGGGCCCACCAAGCAGGGAGACTGCACCCTGCAGAGGGAGCTGGGTGTGGAGAGGCCGGCAGAGCCTGGAGAGGTCTGAGCACCTGTGCCCGGTCTCTCCACTGAAAACCCTGGGTTCGATTCCACCTTCAGCCCATCCCGTCCCAGGGATAGTGGTGCTTGGAGGAGACCCGCCCTGCCCACTGAAAGGGCAGCATGTGTGGGTGCCAGAGGAGAGCGGGGTAAACTTGAGAGCAGTTCCTGTGTTTGCATCTTTTCTATGGGATCGTAGGACACGTGGGCCCCTCACCTGGCCCCAAGCTGACCCCGATAAGATAGGGTTAACCGAAAGAAAAAAAGCCCCTCCTGGGCTCTTCAGCTTAGAAAGGGAAGAAGAAGCAGCGTCTTTGCTGAACTCTCATTCCACCCCCCTCTCAGAACCTCCTCCCTGAGCCCCCCGCTTATCTCTGCCCTCTCAGGGGTCCCAGGAACTGCTTCCATCCTTCATTGTCCAGCCTTAGCATTTAAACAGGAGAAAGGGAGCAGCGGAGAGAAGAGGCAAGAAAGGAAGCGAGAGAGAAGGGGAGGGGAGAGAATATGGGAATCTCATCCTTGGTCCTGATTAAGCTTCAATTAGAAATAAAATGTGTCAATCACTCTGCCTGGAAGGGGTTCCTGCTGTCGGGGCTGGTTATGCAAAGCACTCCAAGGTGTGTGGGGATAATCAATTAGGTCAGAGGAAAGAGTGTATGTCACCGCTCCCCTCATTATCTGCATGGAGCTGGAGGTGGCGGTGCATCGCCAGGCCAGGGAATAAAATTATCTCCCTAAGTGACGGCCCACCTCTGGGACTGGCACACTCACGGTTTCCAATTGAATTTATTTTCTGTGGAATACGGGGAGGAGGGAGTGGGGTCCAGTCTAAAGGCTACATGGACAGGCTCGCAAAGGGAGGCCGCAGGAGACAACGGGATGCTCCAGCCCCTCGCCTGCGCTGGGTGGGGAGAGGGCAGGGCCTCACCTGCTGGGCTTGTGTTCTCCAGGTGCACAGTCAGTGTGAAAGGGTCCACTGTCTTAGGCCAGAGCTCTGGAAGGTTAGAGAGAGGGACTGGATGCTTGGGTAGGAATTGGATGTCAGATGTCTTCAGTGGCCTGTTGGGAGATTCTGTCAGGAACTCGCTTTGGGCCTAATTATTTGTATCCTTCTAGAAATATCCTCTGTGTCCTATACTTCCTCTACCGCCATCAAATGAAAACGGGCGGTTAACAGCAGGTGTGCAAAATTGTGTCTGTGGTTAGAACTTTACCTCCGCCTTGAGTGGGGCCAAGTCTTGTCCTCTCTCTGGGACCCACTTTCACCATCTGCAACTTGGAGGGGATTGGATTAGATGAATTTATCCAAATTTTCTTACAGATCCAACGTTGTCTAGGATTAGGCATACATGAAAAAGTGTGGGTTCTAACGATAATTATGAGGGTGATGGGGACCCGTAACCTCCACAGGTATCACCTCCTGATCCTAAACTGGCTGCTGTCATCTAATCCAGCCGGTCAACCTGACCACATTAAAAACTTGGTCCATCTATCCTGTGACCAACGTAGCTTTGACACAGTCAGTGCTCCCCTGGGAACGCTCCAGCCCCTCCAAGGCCAACCTGGTTGTCTGGATAGAAAAGCCCAGGAGGCATCTCTTCCTGAAGGTGGAGGGAGGGAGTGCTCAGCGCGAGAGACCCCGTAGAGGTCCCGAGAGTACTTCTCAGCTGGGCGATCTCCCCACTCCAGGACACATGGCAATGTCTGGGGACATTTTCGATGGTCATGACTGGTTAGGAGTGCTCCTGGTACGTAATGTGTAGAGAGCAGGGATGAAGGTCCTCCAAGGCACAGATCAGGCCTCCACACTCAAAGAATTCTCCAGGCCAATGTCAACAGTGCTGAGGTTGAGAAACCTTGGAGTTGAGGGCAGGAAGAGGTGTCTGGGGCAATCACCAGAAGATCAGGTATTTTTCTCCCAGAAACCACAGCTCTGTGGAGAGAAACATTAAGAAACTTTTGGCCCTGGAAGGGGGAAGTAGGGGCGAGAGAGTGCAAACAGGAAACTATGCCAGCCTGGGAACGAGAGTGGGTTTCGACTCAGCCTGGTGCCTGAGAGCCAGCCGCTGGACGTGGGACCATCCCAGGCCAGAGGGACAGAGCCAGCCCCAAAGAAGATGTGTGTCTGAAAAGTTGGGGCCCTTCTCGCTGGATATTTATATCAGGAGCAGGTTACGGGAAGGTTCTCACAGATGAAAGCTTAACTCGTGTGGTTTTGCCTCCTAATTATTGCCACCTCTTAACTGCTGCCAGCCCTTCTGTGCACATAAGTGCATCTATTTATTTACCTGCTTATGTTACCCTGGAGTGTGTGTGTGTGTGTGTGTGTGTGTGTGTGTGTGTGTGTGTCTGGGTGGTGTCAGGGAGCAGAAGGGAAACAAAGGTCTTAC